AGCAGGTTGGGTTTAAAGGGGTACACCACTGCACCCAGCAATGTGGTCTTTTCTTACATTTGGCCTTTTGAGGACTCTGGCATCAACAGGATGGGATTAGCTGGAGGAGGCCTGGCATCCTGGGTTAGGGGTTGGTCTCTTGGAGCTACTGACCATGATGGGCTTCACCAGGAGCCTCTCTGGCACAGCTGGAATATGAGTAGGGCTAGAGGGTGTCCAACTCTAGGGTCCTCTGAGGGTCACAGGCTGTACCTCACCAAGAGCCTCAGAGGCAGAAAGGATACTCTGTTGGATGGGACCTTGGTTCTGGACTTGGGAGGATAAAGTGGATCTTAACAGATAGTACTGGACATCCCCGGAAGGGGCACAGGGGCAGTACTGGCTGTGAAGTGGGTAGTCACAGGGGCTTCTCATTTGCCTGGCCAGTGGCTTCTGGACAGTGTGTTTATAGATTCTTGGTCCTGGGCAGTCAACCTGGAGCTTGTACGTGCTAGGCAAGTGCTCTGTCGCTGAGCCACACCCTCAGCCCTCTTTGTACTTTTGTTTTAGACGGTGTCTCTCCCTGGCTGTAGACTAGGCTGCCTTCAAACTCAGAGATCCACCTGCCTGTCTGCCTCTCGAGTGCTGAGATTAAAGGCATTAACCAGCATGCCTGGCTCTCTTTTTACTTTTATTTTGAGACACTGTCTAAGTTTCTGGGTTGGCTTTAAACTTTTAATCTTCCTGCACCAGCCTCCCAAGTAAGTGGGCTTACAGGTATATACCGCCAGGCCTGGTGAGGGAGGCCGTATTGTAGAGCAGGCACCCTCTCTAAAAGTGACTAAAAGTCTTGGGCAGGTTTGTGGCCAGCCTAGTTCCTCCCTTCTGTCTGTTTATTCAGGAAAGAAATGGGGGTCCAGAGAAGTGAGTGGTCACAACTAGAGCTTAGTGCTCTGTGTGTGTGTATGTGTGTGTGCATGTGTGTGTGCATGCATGCCAAGTCAGGTCAGATCACAGAAGTCTTTAGTGCTGGACACCTAAGCTTTATTCAGGCAGCGATGGAGAACCTCAGAAGGCTCCGAGCAGCCAGGGACAGCAATACTCTCAGAGCTGGACCTGGCACATGGTGAGCACTCTTCACCTTGCTCTTGTCTGTTGTAGTATCACCCAGCCAGAGGCTGAGTCAGCAGGTCTTGAGGAAGTTGTGGGTGATTCTGAGGCATGGCCAGAGCTGACCTCCACCAGGCTGCAGCAGCAGCCTCTTGAGTCCAGGAATAGCCTTGAGGGTTCTAGAGCCTTATTCACCTGGAACCTAGTCAGCGATTGCTAAATGCTGGTGAGGTCTGGCTGCAGGAATGGTGAACAGGGGCAAGCAAGGGCTAGACGCAGGGAAGCTGCCGGCTAGGCTGAGGATCCCGGGGCTTATTCATGGGATTGAGGGTGGTAAGAAGGACTACAGGCGACTGCCACGGAAGCCTGGGTGTTGTTCAGCGGTGCTGCTTAGGGATGGAGCCAGCTGGCAGCTGTGGAAAGAGAAGCTGGGAAGCTGAAGGATGAGAGGAGAGTCTGGGGTAAGTCACTCTGGGTTGTCCACCCTGAGTGAGGACACAATTTGGAGAGCAGAACTCTATTTTTGTCTTGTTTTGTTTGGAGGTCACATGTAGCCCAGGCTGGCCTTGAACTTGCGATATAGCCAAAGATATCTTGAACTTCTGATCCTCCTGTCTCTTTACCTCTTGAATGATGGACTAGAGGCATCATGCACCACCACACTTAGTATATGAGGTGGTGGGAATCAGAATCGGAGCATAGTGAGTGCTAGGCAGGCAGCCTAGCAATTGAGCCACATTCCCAGATCCTTGGGGGGGGTGGAATTCAAGAGCTGCTCCTGTGAAGGAGGTACCAGATAGAGGCTGACAGATGCAGGATCCTATGAGGAAAGGAGAGCCTTCCCTCAGAGATTTGTGAGGGGTGTGATGGCTGTGAATGGATTTGAGAATTCAGGGATTCTGCTATTCCAGAGTATGTGTCCTTGGGGATAGAGACCCTGTGGCCCTTGTGGATGTGGGTGGGGTGGCTTCCTGGAGAGGCTGGCCTCAGGCTAGAATAGGTGGGAACCATACTGGGGTGGGAACCCCACCTTGTCCCCTCCCTGGCTGGAACTGGTGGGCCAGGGGGCCGGGCTTGGCCTGAGCTGTGGGAAGCTGCTCCTGGGCCTGAGGCCCATCCTGTGACCCAGCAAACCTCAGCCTCCAGGAAAGAGTCAATGTAAGGCTGTGGTAGAAAAGAGAGGATGTATGTGCCTGCGCCAGGCTGGAGCCCAGAGGAAAATGTGAGCCAGCTATGAGCTGCTGTGACACATGCTTCCCATGCCAGTGGCTATCGGGATCCTGTTCTCCTGCCTCTCCCCAGGCCGGAAAGACAGAAAATGACCTAGAAAGGCTCCGAGGGGCCTGACCCCTTTTGATGAAGTCTCTGCTCTACAACAAGGTTACTCGGGCCTTCCACCCACAGCTTTAGGGCAGGTGGCAGAGGGGACTCCAAACTTCCTGTACCCTGGCTTCTAAACTTCCCTAGAGTTCCTGGGGACCTTGGATACCTATCTGCGTGTGGAGAATGGAGAAGTCAGGGAAAGCTTCCTGGAAGCAGAGGCAAATGTCAAGCTGGAAAACCACTGGGTAGGGAGTGACTAGCTGGAAGGTTTTACAGGTTTTGATACAACTTCCTTCCCTGAAAGAGGGCTCTCATAACTTTAGACCCAGGCCCTTCCTTTGGTGGTGGGCAGACAGCCACAGACTCAGGATGGGTGGTGGGGTGAAGAGGGCCAGTTCATTCTCCCATTCCCTCCTGATACCCATCCTTTATCTACCCAGCTCTGAGGCTGTCCTTGTTATAGGCTCCCCATGGCCTATGCCCTACCCATGACCACCTATCAATCTATATCCATCCCGCCCCTTACTGTCCCTGGGGACCAGCTCTGTGCTGGGCCCTGAGCTAGGGGATAAATATGAAGCAGGAAGAGGCAGGGCAGAGGACAGCAAGAGAGCCTCTTTACTTTTCACCAAAATCATTGCAATTTTCTTCGAAAGGATTAGCATATTCGGCATGCTAATGAGTTGGCTGGCGGTCCTGCCCCCAGGGAGCCTCAGTATAGGGGCTGGTCACTGAAGGCAAGGTTGGAAAGCTGGGACAGAAGAGGGAGGAGCCGGGGACTGAGCTGATTACCACTGGTCAAGGGTTCAATGAATCAGGCCTATATAACAAGGCCTCCACAAAAATCCCAAACGACTGGAGAGCAGGGGTGCTGGAAGGTTCCTGCAAGGTGATGTTTTAGGAGGTGAGGAGGCCCCATGCCCCTCCCCACATGTCTCAATGCAGGCATTGTTCTATGTGTACTCTGAAATCTTTGTCATAGACGTGTGTGTGTGTGTGTGTGTGTGTGTGTATGTGTGTGTGTGTGTGTGTGGTGTGTGTGTGTGTGTGTGGTGTGTGCTTGAGCACACGTGTTCCCCCTGAGTTCTATGAGCTGTGCTAGCAAATGAATTGAACTTGAGGGGGTTGTGGGAACCCCACAGGACAGCCTGGGGTTTATGAGGGGCACCTGCCATGGGGAGCAGCCTTGGGACAGAGTCTTCACCCTGGGGAGTCTGATGCCTCCTTTGGTGGATGCTGTCAGAGCTGAAGTGACCGGTTCCCCCTTTGTGTCTGCTGCAGCCGCCAGGGCTTGTGTGCTCTGTGGAGACCCCCTGCCTTGACCTTTGCTCACAGAAGCTATCTGTTATGAGAGTCCATTGACAGAAACAAAGCTTGCTTTTTTTTTCCCTTCCGTATTTCAAGACCTGGTTTCAAAGCTCATGTCCAGAGCCTGAGGTGGTGTGTGTCAGTGGCTTCCTCCCCCTTACCCTTGGTTTATTCATGTGCAGAATGGAGGTGGCAACTTGAACACCAGGCGCGTGTGTTCAGATTTGCCCTGAGAGCCTCTCCATACCAGAACTTACCAGGAAGCAATTACTAATGGCATTAGCTCCCAGTCACAGTGGGTCCCCGGAGTACCCCTACGACCCGTGTGGTGTGTCTTCCCCACTGAACGAACTCATCCTGACCCATCCTTGGGGTTGGCGCTAATATCAGGATGGACCAGGAGACACTGGGCAGTGACTGACTGAGCCTGGCAGAAGAGGGAGAAATAGGGAAGACTGCTTAGAAGAGGCGGCGTGGGAGCCAATCTTGAAGGAGGGCAGCGATCGGTAGAGTGAGCCAAGGCCAAGCTGGAGAAGAGGCGTTTGGAGTGTGGAAGCAGGCATTGGGTAGTGTGAGAGGGGCTGCCATCCAGGAAATGGGACAGGAGGGCAGGGTTGGCAGAGCTGTGGACCTGTTGTCTGTGACCTGAGGAAGGGCTTGTACACTGTGGATTCACAGGTAACAGTGACTGAGAGAGAGAGGTGTGGTTCAGGAGGGATGGGCTAGGGCCTGCGAGGTGAGTGTGGACAGTTCCCCAAGGTTGAGCCCGTTGGCATTGCCTCTTGGCCTCTGAGACTGGTCAGGGCTTCTCTGGTCCCGCATAGTGACTCTGTCCGTCTGCAGGCCTAGCTCCTACTCTGCAGCTTTGTGGCAGGGGCATTGCCCCATTAGACCTTGGTTATTAAGTCATTAGCTAGACCTCACACTGCCTCTTCATTAGCGTAATTATGGAGAATCCACTCAGGGAATTAGAGAGGAAGATGCTTTCTCCCGACTGTCAGGCTGCCAGCTACCAGCCAGGCCTGGCCCTATAGCCGGCGAGATCCCTCAGCTTCCCAGAAGGGCCTAAAGAGGGACAATGACATTTGGTGCCCCCACTCCATCTGTCATACTAGACTCAGACACAGTGCTCAGCAATCCCTGACTCCTCCTTCCATGTTGGTGACTTTGAGCTTATGGTTCAATCTCCTGTGCCTCAGTTTCTTCACCTGTCCAGTGGGATAACAGTGCGGTCTCACAGGGCTGTATGGTATTTCACACCCAGCAACACAAACCGCCAGTCACCAGTAATGCTGTTATTGTCAGAGAAAAGCTCCAGGGTCCCCAAGGGCCTCTGCTCCCCGTGTGGGCAGCTCTTGAAGGCAGGGCGTCGTCTCTTCCTCTTCTCTCTCTAACCCCTTCTCTGTGGTAAAGAACTGTGGCCTGGTGGTCCTTCTGTCCACAGAGATAAGCCCAGTGGGGCCCTGGGCTAAGCTACTGGGGCTGCTGACTCTGGAGACTTGACTAAGAGCTACAGAAGTGATCTGGGGTCTGTAGCGCAGCTGTGGCTCTGTCTATCAGCAGTGGATGATTTGTAGGTTTTCTTTAGCTTCTGTTGACGGTCAGAGCCCTAGTGG